CCTACTCAAAGTCAAAAGCCTGTTCAAAAATCTATGTTTTAGCCTGGATTGCAAGGATTGAAGGGTGGGAGCTAACCTAATATCTTTTGGAATAGTATTCCAAAGCCGGGGAGCCACCACAGAAAAGGCCCTCTCTCTCATCCCCACCAACCGTGCTTGAGATGGTGGTAAGACCGAGAGAAGGGCGTCCCCTGCCAATCTCAAAGCCCGTGCCAGTTCATAGAAAGAGATGCAGCCTCAAAGATAGGTTGAACCCAAAGCGTATAGGGCTTTATAGGTCCTAACCTGCACCTTGAATTGATCCTGGAAGCCAGTGGAGCTGCTTTAGTAGAAACTAGGCATGGGCAAACTATGGTTCTAAAGTACTTACAAAACTGAAGTCCTGGTGGTGAAAACTAGGGGGCGCTGGTGCTTTGCTTCTACAGTGTTGCTACAGTTCTGGCGGTGAAAATTTCAGAAGTCTAACAAAACTTCCAAAATTTCATTAATATTTCATTATTGGCAATTTTTATGACAGAACCAATTAGGAACTGCCGTTTATAATGAAATTTTGAAAGTTTTGTGAGACTTATGAAATTTTCACCACCAGAACTTTACCAACACTGTAGAAGCAAAGCACCAGTGCCCCCTAGTTTTCACAACCAGAACTTTAGTTTTGTAAGTACTTTAAAATCATTTAGAACCATGGATTGCCCATGCCTAGTAGAAACGTATGTTCTCTACAGCTAGCCCCAGTTAGTAATCTGGCAGCCGATCTTTGCACTAACTAGTTTCCAAACCATCTTCAAAGGCAGCCCCACATAGAGTGCATTACAGTAGTCCATTCTGGATGTAACTAAGGTAGGGGCCACTGTGGCCAAGTCAAGCTTTTTGAGGTACGATCACAGATGTTGCACAAGTTTTGACTGTGTAAAGGCCCTCCCAGCCACAAGCAACACCTGAGCTTCAAGTGTCAATAAGTCCAGGAGGACACTCAGACTGCGGACCTGTGTCCTCGGGGTTAGTGTAACCCTGTCGAGCACAGATTGCCACTCTATACTTTGATCAGCCTTGACCAGGAGGCCCTCTGTCTTGTCTGGATTAAATTTCAGTTTGTTGGCCCTCATCCAGTCCATCACAACTGTCAGATACTGATCCAGGAGCTTCCTTGGAATGAGGTGGAAAAAGCAGTAGAGTTGCATGTCATCTGCATAGAGATGGCACCAAACTAAAATTCCAGATGACCTCACCCAGCTGTTTCATGTAAATATTGAAAAGCATGGAGGAAAGAATGAAACCTTTTGGGACTCCACAGGTCAAAGGCCAGAGATCTGAGCAGATGTCTCCCAGCATCACCATCTGGGTACCATCCAGGAAAGACTGGAGCCACTGCAACACAATGCCCCTGTGACCTATTCCGGAGAGCTCTCCCAGAAGGATACCATGGTTGATGGTATCAAAAGTCACAGATGGTATGAAAAGCCACTGACACATTCCCCCTGTCTAGTTCTCTGCAGAGGTTATCCACCAAATCTCTCTCTGTTCCGTGACCAGGCTTAAAGCCAGACTGAACAGATCAAGAGAATCAGTTTCATCCAAGAATCCCTGGAGTTGAGAGGCCACCACCAATAGTTGAATTCTGCAGACTATACAAAAGTGGGCAAACCTAGATTTTCTTCTATGCATAAAGCTGTCATTTTAACCATCTGGATGTTTGTATCCTGCATGCTCTGAGGGTTTTCAACACAATACAGTGCTTGCAGACCTCTGAAGCCCCTGGGACTGCAAAACTCACTTAAACCAGGCCTCCTGCACTAGGGAGTTGCCTTCCATCTCTGCCATTTAATTTCTGGAAACTTAGTGAATATGCTTTTATAATGGAAGATGAATATTCAGATGTGAGGGTTTTATATCCAGGACTACATTTGTGTGTAGTCGAAGCACTTTTGGCCTTTTACAGCTTTAATCCTGGAAAGATCCAGCTCCAATTTACTAGATTTACTTCTTTGAACCTACAGGAGAAGCATTAAAGGTAGGTAAGGTAGTCCCCTTTTTTTCCTCCAGTGTCCTCTTGCCTCTAGAATGAATCATCTTTTGAAGCCTTATCGGGGCCTGTCTTTGGAGACCTTGGGAAGCTCTCTGGGCTCTCTTGCTTWCTTCATCTTTCTCCTGAGCCATTTTGTTGTCATAAATTAGCTGCCATTATTTTAACACTCCCTGAGCTGCATGYTGATTGTTAAGTGCAGTGTATTTATTACTGATTTTGGAAAATGTCACTTTAGGGCAATTTACCATTTGAATAGTATTTTGGTCTCTGGGGATTCCTACATGTTTATTGCTGCACACTAAAATAACAAGCGTGGCTTTTTATYGTAACTGGTCAGGTGTCAGGTAAAAGATTTCTTGACAGTTGTTGAGAAATAATGAAAAAGCCATTTTCTTTCTGTGGTTATGTAAACCTTGCAAGGAAGTGCACTGAGAGTATATAATACTTGTGAAATTGCAGCTTCTTAAATCATTGATTAAGATGGAAAAACAACCATTCATCTAGAGCAGGGGTCCACAAACTTTTTAAACAGAGGRCCAGGTCACAGTTCCTCAAACTGTTGGAGGGCCAGATTATAATTTGGAAAAAAAACATGAATGAATTCCTATGCATACCAYGTATCTTATTTGTAGCGCAAAAATCACTTTAAAACAATACAATAATTAAAATGAAGAACAATTTAACAAATATAAACTTATTAGTATCTCAGTGGGCCTGCTTTTGGCTCATGAGATAGGATTGTTGTCGTTGTTGTTTCAAGTCATTTCAGACTTAGACTGACCTTGAGCGAGGGCTGGGTAAATGACCTTGGAGGGCTGCATCCGGCCCCCGGGCCTTAGTTCCCCTGATCTAGAGCGTCTATTTTTTGAAAAGTTGAGTGTCAACATGGAAACACTGGAGACTTACACTGAGTAAGACCATTGGTCTTCTAGCCCAGTTTTCAACCTTTGGGTCCCCAGATATGTTGGCCTTCAGCTCCCAAAAATCCTAACAGTTGGCTTGGATTTCTGGGAGTTGTAGGCCAAAACACCTGGGGACCCACAGGTTGAGAACCACTGCTAGGCCAATATAGTCAACATATTAAGTGGCGGCCATGGCTCAGTCTGCAGAGTTTCAAAGCAGGACTGGAGATCACCCATCCAAGTACTTTATTTATCGTGTCAGGGGCAGACCAAACAGCTGCATTGCATTTTTTAAACAAACAAACAAAACACAAAGTTTGCAAGCTTGATAGTTGATTAAATGTCCTTTGACCAGTAGCTGGCCACTTGGAGTGCCTCTGGTGTTGCTGCAAGGAAGGTCCTCCATTGTGCATGTGGCAGGGCTCAGGTTGCATTGCAGCAAGTGGTCTGTAGTTTGCTCTTCACACTTGCATGTTGTGGATTCCACTTTGTAGCCCCATTTCTTAAGGTTGGCTCAGGGGCAGCTCAACCCATTACGCAAAGTAAGCATTTGCAGTATAGTTGATTTTGCCCAGGGGCGCTCTTGAGGCGCTCTTGGGGGAAAATAGACCTTGACATATGTGAGTTGTAGTTACTGGGACGTATAGTTCACCTACAATCAAAGAGCATTCTGAACTCCACCAATGATGGAATTGAACCAAATATGGCACACAGAACTCCCACGACGAACAGAAAATATATATCAGTGATTGGTGGGGGGGGGGGGGCAAATACTGTTTGCTTATCATTGAAAATTACCTAGGGCCGCCTCTGGGTTGGCTCTGCATCTCATGGTGCCAGAGCACAGTCTGTTCAGCGCCTTCCAAGTTGCCGTTTTCTGTGTGCCCAGGGGGGAGTTTCTCCAAGTACTAACCAGGATCGACTTTGTTTGGCTCACAAGATCACTGTGGTTCAGCGGCTTTATGAAAGAAAAAGCTATCAGTGCCTATTGTTATGGTTGTCTAGTAGCCAGTTGCCATGGCAGTCCAATCTCAGATCGCTCCAGTAATATTAGAGGAAAGATGCCACACAATATTAACTACAATAGAACATGAGGAGACTGCTATTGCACTCATGCAGATGCTCCTTGGGACATTTGGATGACTGTAGAAACTAGAGGAAGAACAAAAAGCATTAACATTGTTTGGTTTTCCAAACTTTATAGGTGAAGAATAGTCTTCACTGAATACAAAAACCAGAAAGGGATAAGGTATTTTTTAGTGCTGCATTGGGCGCTTATGCTGTAGCAAGTCCTGTTGGCGTGTTGAGATGCAGTACTCTATTAAATCCTAGGGTCATGAACAGCATTTCCTCCTGGCTGTTCATTCACCATCAGGCTTTCAATCACTTAGCACTTGTCCTGGTCATTTGTTTGCTCAGTTTTTATGCTTTGTGGAGTGGAAACTGTATCTTGCAGAGACCAAGATATCTCAACGCTACATTTTCCTTGTATTCAGAACATACCAACCACTGCTGTATTGTACGGTGATAAAAAAAGCTTTATAAGGGTGTGACCTGCAGGAATGATTTGAGTACCCAGTTTATAAAGGATGGATCAATAGGAGCGCTCTTCTGATAGAGTAACAGTGGTCATTTAATGCTATAGGAGGGTCCTCAGCTTGGACTAAAGGCCCCACCCCTGTGGTTTCCTTAACACAATACCTATGGCTATGGAATAGGTCACTGAGAACTTGCTGCAGTGTAACCATGCATAAGACTGTGCTTCAAATGTTGCTTTTCTTCTTAAATCTCTAAAGCCTGCAGCAGCTTTTTTTTTAAAAAGGAGGCATCATTCACACATCCAGCTTCCCACCTGCTCCATTTCGACTCCTTTGACTCCACAGCCGAGCAGAATCAAATGGAAACGACTGACGCTTGTGCAGCATTAACACGCACCAGGCAATTATAGAGTAGAATGAATGAATGTCTGAGAACATTTCCCTTAAGTAACTGGTAATTTTTTTGTTTCTAAGGATGTTCTGGCATGTTGTTGGAGTGATAAAAGGTCAATCATTCATTTTAATAGACAAGAGTACTTCATTAGTGGGTTATTTTAATTTTTTTCAAAAGCTTATAATTAAAATCATCATCTTAGTGAGTTTGTTAACAATGATCATCTATTCAAAATACATAATTAGCATCTTGGAGACTAGAATTTGGAAGATGAGTATCAAAAAGTCTGCCGTCTAGCAATATAGTTTTAAAAACCAAGAAGCCAGCACTCTACTTGCTAATGTAATTGGGGGGAAATGCTGCTGTGAGTGAGACAGAGGAAGTCTATCACTTTGACGAATATCGACATAGCTCTATCGATGACTGCATTGTTTACAGAGAAACCTCTGTCATCCTGTTTCAAATTAAGGGGCAAAGGGATTCCACCTGAACATTAGGAAGAACTTCCTGATCATGGGAGTTGTTCAACATTGGAAATTTCTGCCTCGGAGTGCAGTGGAAGCTCCATCTTTGGAAGCTTTTGAACAAGCTGGATGGCCATCTGTCGGGGGCACTTTGGTTGTGCTTTTTCTGCATTGCAAAGAGTTGAACTGGATGGCCCTTGGGGTCTCCTTCTAAGTCTTAGGCTAGACTGTTATTGTAAAGGATACACAGCTTCACATGGTAAATAGGATTTCTGGACTCAAATATATTTAAATTTTATTTTTGAAGCAACGAAGAAAATGCTTTAGGTCTTTACTCAGTGTTGAACTACAGTACCTAGAATTACTCACCACTGGCCATGGTGGGTAGGTCTGCTTTGAGTTGCATTCAACACCTGGACACACAACTCCCATCTACATCTTCCTAAATGTTATTTCCTTCCCTTGAGATCAGGCATGAACTTCAAGGGGTTTTGTACTACAACTCTCAAATCCCTCACTATTAGTTGTCTTGCCAGGGACTGATGAGAGTTACAGAACAAAGCAGTTTACAGAGTCACACAGAAATAATAGTTAATGGAAAATTCATAGAAATGGTGGCAGGGTTCCCATGCGTTCAGTACTAGCCCTGTAGATAAAGTCTGAACACTGTAAGTTCTGCATAGAGTAATACCCATTTTAATATATATTTTTGGAAAGCAATGCTACAGTTTTGTCTATATGTTTTAATTGCCAGAACACAGGTTTGTGTTACAAAAGATGCAAGAACATCATGCCATTTCTTCCATTGTCCCCCCCCCCCCAATTTCAGGAAATGAATCCCCCCCCCTTCCGTTCCATTCAGGAAATCTGATTAGCATCCTAAATCACCATGAGCTTTAATTTGGCCAAAGTGTCATGTCTCTTTCCTATGAACTGAGTATTAAGTATTAAAGGACACATCATTTTTTCTCACTCTCGGCTGTTCCTACAGAAGGCTAAATGTTACTTTTCCGGGGGGGGGGGGGGGGGGGATGATTTAGGACCAAGCTCCACAGTCAACACACTTACTTGCCTCTACATTAAGAATTATGCTTAATCTTACAAATTTAGTAATGGTGCTAATCTAATTGAAGAAATCAATACACAAGCATGGCAGAAACTAGAGCAAGATGGAGATAATAAGCTGGACATCTTGGGCTGATATGGCTGATGCTGCCTTTCTTGTTTGCATTTTCTAGGGAAAGAAAGGAGGGAAAGAGAGGTGAATTATACATAGACAAAATTTCTTGTTAATGGAAAGTGAAAAACAGAAATTTGTTTAACCTTGTAAAGTTTGTGGCACCCCTTTAAAAACTACCGAGAAAATGTCACCACCGTGAGCTATAATTTTTTATGTTGGAATAATACTCTGTGGATTGGTCTAATAAAGGTCACCTCTCCATTTACTGAAATGTCATCTCACCGACCAGTTCTCCCCCCCCCCCAAATAATAGTACCTTTTTGTACTACACAAATAATAGTACTTTTTTGACCAAAATTATCTTTAATTTTTGGAATCATCTTTTTATACCAGAAAGGTGTCAAGTTAGAGAGTGCAGAAATAAAATTTGAAGAAAATGGCACTCTCTAACTTGAAGCCTTCCAAAGGTTTTCTGGTCAAAAAAGATGATTCCAAAAATTAAAGATAATTCAGATTTGGATTAAAGAGTACACTTTAAGCAAATTAAGTCAAATAAGTACATAGTAATTGGCATTATTATTATTATTATTATTATTATTATTATTATTATTATTACCCCACTTTTCTCCCATGGGTGGGATTCAAAGCAGCGTAACTATGAAGGGAGAAGAGTGGGCTAGTGGCATAGTTGTACTGACCATGGACATTAGAATGGGGTGAAGGGCAACCTTAACAGCTGGCTCTGTCAGGAGATGAAGCAACCTGCTACTAAATCCTCAGTAGGGTTGCTAGCTCAGGACTTTTCCAGGCCCTGAGATGTATAGACAAAACTCAGGAGCTTCTGCTGTCATGGAGCAAGCCCTGGTAATGTTGCAAGCTGGTGGTAATAATAATAATAATAATAATAATAATAATAATAATAATAATATAATAATAATAATAATAATAATAATAATAATAATAATAATAATAATAAACTTTATTTTTGTATCCTGCCTCCATCCCCCTGAAGGGACTCAGGGCAGCTTACATGGGGACAAGCCCGGTCAACATAGTTAAAATATAACACACTAAAATTCATAAAACAACATCATAAGATAATATAAAACAAACAACAACATAACGAAGTAAAGAAACAACCATCAAGCAAGACCACCAAATGGCCTGAAATAATAAACAGTTTCTGGGGTCGGATGGGTGGGCTGGTGCAAAAGAATAGCCTAGGACAGTGATGAGCAACCTTTTGAGCTTGGTGTGTCAAAATTTGCCAAAAACCTGAGCATAACTTGGGTGGGGTGTCAACTTCGAGGGGAAAAAACAACATAATTTTGCAATATTTGCAGTTTAAATAAGAAAAATGTATATTCCGTGCTGAGTTATGGAGTGAACAATGCTCAAACGTGCAGATGTTAAATTTGTAGAGCCTTTTACAAATTTAACGATGCAATTAGATTGGTTCTTATAAGGTGTACTTCTCTGTATGTGGCCACATGTGGTCACGTGTCATTAAAAATAGCCATGCGTGTCAGTGCTGATACACGTGTCATAAGTTCACCATCACGGGCCTAGAATGATGCCATTAAGCACGATACATTACATATCAATCCCAAATGCACAGAGTGCACCATTCAAATCGACAATACCATGGAGAACAAATATGAAAAATACAGATGCAGACACTCTCGCCCTGAGATACTTTCTCTTTGTCTGCAGACTGGAGAAGGGAGACCAAGCCCTGAGATTTGGATCTGAACTGATTCATGAACTGTTTGAAAGCTGGCAAAACAATCTTGTCTCCTGACCAAGAGAACATTTGCCACTTTTCTCTGCCACAGTTATGCCCTGCTCAGAAGTTGAGTTATGACATAATAGGGTCAGAAATGACTTAAAGACACAAAACAAACCACAGACCCTTATGCCAGCATAGGTCTTCAGAGGGATCCCAGCCTCATACTATTTAGCCTTACACACTGTAGCCAGAGTCCAATTGTTAAACCTAACTATAGCAGACCTATTGACTTAACATAATCTTGATTTACCAAGCTCCCACTGATACAATGGATTTACTATAGTCAGGAATTACCTGGAATCAGGCAATAGTTGTATTCCCCTCTGATACATTTTAAGAATCAAAGGGCACACCCAACCTCTGCAGTCAGATGCATCCATGATTTTATCCCATATTGAGTCTCAGTATGTGCATTTTATAACAAACTGTATAAGGCTCGCCCCCCTCCCCCTATATTTCAGTTGAACATGCATTCCTAAACCACCTGAGACCCAATCCCTCTTTTCTTCATAAAGAATGAGGCTTTCAACAAGGACGCTACCTATATATGACTTTGAGGCACACAATGTGTCACTACATGTCCTCTGAATGCCAGTTGTTGGGGGAGAAGAATAGAAGTGGGGTGTTTCCTCTGTGCTTTGCACGTAGTCTTTCAATGGGCACCAGGCTGGTCCTATGGAAACTGGATAGGCCTTTAGATAAACCCAGCAGGTTTTTCTTAAGTTACCTTGTGACTTCAGCTAGTCAATCTCAACCCCTGAGAAGGTCACATTATCAGGATCCAGCTTTTTCGGCTCTCCTGCACAGAAAGAGAGAAGAAAAATGTCAGTGCTTTCCACTGTATGAAGAAATAGTTACTGCATCACCTCTAGGAAACTGCTACAGAGATTGTGCTGTTTCATGTTCAGCAGAGGTAACAGTTGTTTTTTGCTGTGCCTTAACACGAAATCTGCAATTGTCTTCCTTATGAATACGTGAGAACATTATTTTTCACAGCTATAACAGACTAAGAAATTATCACATGATTGCTTTTACCAAATTGCATGTGGGTGCCCTTAACCAAAATAGTGTTCTTATGAGGAAGCAAGGCTACAGAAGTAATGGTAAAAAGGAGGGGCAGGCTACAGTAAAAGGCTAAGGGACCACACTCACTGGTTTTGGCTGATTCCTTGTTTCAAAAACACTCCTCATGGGACCAAAATTATTGTGTGCTGAAGTGGGGGGGGGGGGAATGTATCAGATATTAAACTGATAAGAACAGATACTACACATGATCCGTCATTATGGTCCACACGTGCATAATGGTCCACCAAGGGGGGGGGGGGAATGCCACCCCCTACAGGTCATCTGGAGACAAGAATGGTTTCCTATAGGACACAACAATTGGGGGCAGACAGATACTGAATTTAGCCCATGTGCCACGGTTCACCTACCCCTGATATATGCATCTCTTTTGCATATAGTACAGTGGTTCTCAACCTGTGGGTCCCCAGATGTTTTTGTCTTCAACTTCCAGAATTCCGAACAGCTGGTAAACTGGCTGGGATTTCTGGACATTGGAGGCCAAAACATCTGGGAACCCACAGGTTGAGAACCACTGATATAATACATCATAATGAAAGAGCCAGCGTGGAGTAGTGGTTTGAGTGTTGGACTATGACTCTAGAGACCAGGGTTCAAAGCTTCACTCAGCCATGAAAACTCATTGGGTCAACCTGAGAAAACCATACCTTCTCTGCCCAGAAAACCCTGTTAATTTGAAAGAACACAAGCTCACAATGATTATGATGATGCAATGGAAGATAGTGTTGCATTGGGAAATTTCTATGCTCTGTTGAATCTTTTAGTTATTTGTCATGAAGTTGCCCTGAGAAGAAAGTCTGACTGAATTATACACAGGTGAAGTGTTTTAAGCCCTCTTGTCATCTTGCAGTTCAAGTTGTTATGAGTCAAACAACTTATGAAATGGCAGCCCAGCAAAATGCAAGGTTGGGAAGTTCCTTAATATGGTGACAAGAGCATTTCTTGTTTTGATCATATGGGCCCAAATGATAGTAGGACTAGTTCCATCATCAAACTAATGTAATAGAAATGTTGTTCTACTTTCTATTGCTTCAGAAAGCACTGGCCAATGTATCCCCATGATGGAGCCATGGGGTCTTTAAGGTTGCATGTGCAGAAAATGAAGTGAACATATGTTCCACTAAAAAAACACTTATTATGACCAAAACACTGTCACCAGGACATTTTATGCAAGCTTAGATCAAAATGCTCTGTTTGCATAAGCCTACCTATGTGAACCTCATATTATAAAACTTAAAGATTTGGGATAAGAATTGAAGAAGGCATATTGTGCTGTAGTGCTCTGGTTTGGAGGCTCTCTCACATCCTGAGTCTGATCTAATCCTTATACACTTCTTTAATAGGTAATTCATGTGACATTTTCCATACCATTCTGTGTACCCTATGACCTTATTGGGGCTATAATTCCTAAAATCTTCCAGCCAATATGGCCACCAAAAGTAGCTTTCCAGGCCCTGCCAACATTTTAGGCTTCAATGCAAATAATGAGTCATTTGCTCCTAGGAGTGGCTCATTCTGATGCTGCTCCTTAGCTACTGACAAACCAACCAACTTGACGCTGCAAAGAAGATCCCCTTAATGCCTTCTCCCCACCTGATGCTCAGCCAGGATAAACAAGTTCTTTACCATCGCAATCCAGACGTCCACGGGATTGAGTGCCCTCAATCGCTGTGCCATTATTGTAAACACACCAGCAATACCCAGTGCTGCGGTGGCACTGTTTAGGCAAATAGTTCCCCATTTCATCACACTGGGCACAGAATCTTCCTGGGTAGACACCCTTACCACACTCTTCTTGCTGGCACTTGGTTTTCACTTTAAAACAAAACAAAAGCCAGAGTAATTCAGTATGTACAGTTGATTGCTAACTGCTATCAGCATTGTTTCATGCACCTATCAACAGACTTCCTTAAAGAAGAAAGAGTGAGTGTGCAGAAGAAACACTGCCTCACGTCAGCCGCAGTCAGCATGGTTTGCAGCCTGGATGATGGGAACGATAACAGGAAGGCCACAGGCTCCACAATAATGGTGAAAAACAGTGATGCTCAATCTCTCACTGAATATTTCAACTCCCAGAATCTCTGCCCCTTGGCCATTGTGGGCTGGGATTTCATACAGCTCATCAACATGAGCATTTCCCAGTTGACCAGTCTAGAAGAAAACATGGCCATCTGTTTTGTCATGATGGTATATGCTCTCCCTTCACATTAAAATGTGTTGTTCCACTGTGGCCTCACCATGGGAAAGAGAAGGGGCAAGGGGAAAAATATGTGTGTAAGAATATGCCCATTTAATTAGGACAGCGATTTTATTGGGATGGCTCCCAGGGAACCCATTTAGCCTAATGAGAGCAAATGCTAATGAGCACTTCTTAATAGAGGCAGTATTAATATAAATTCTGCTAATGGGGATGTGTCTGACCACTGCTGAGTGGCTAATTGGTAGGAAGATTCCAGCTTCAGGCTTTATTTCAGAAACTGCTGAAATCACAGGAGGAGGGATCATTATTTTTGAACACTACGTTTGTGCCCAGATTTGTCACAGATAAGTCACTGCCTGTGTTGGTGTGCAAGTTCAGTTCATGATATTTAATTAATCATTTATGGGACGTTGGGGGATGGAAGTTATTAAACTTCCTCAGATATTTCAATAGATTGAACTTTTTTTAAAAAAATAATCCATCTTAGAAGTGGGTCTTAATTCAATCAGCAGGTCTTCCATCATTCCTCAAAGGCGCAACCTCAGAGAATTACTATTTTAAAGTAATTGTGCTCTGCCAATCACTTTGCATGTATTTCAAAAAATTAACATTCTGTTATTAGTGTTTTTTATTTTTTATTATTTTTACTTTTTTAAAAAGGGAGGGGATACAGGGGTAGAGGAAAGTTATGAGGTGGGAGAATTAGGGGACTAGTTTTATTTATTTATTTATTTATTTATTATTCAAACTTATATGCCTGGGGCTCAGAGCTGCTTACAAGAACAGGCTAAAATCTAACCCAATTTAAAAACAATTTAAAACAATTTAAATTGTTTTTAATTTAATTTAATTGTTTTGCATTGTTTTGTTTATTTTATTTTATTGTAGAGTTCATGTTTTTTATTTTAAATAGGTTAAATTTAAGTTGCATTGTTAAGGTAATATAATCGAGTTTGAAAAATTCTGATGTGTGTTACAAAGAATAATCTTAGGGAAGTCACACGCTCTTAGTCTCAAAGCAAGACAAACAAATTATGCCAATGAACCCCATTATAGGATCACCATCAGTCAGAAATAACGAACAGCACACAACAAGAGTCCGAACAATACTTGGGGGGCTGTTCTCTATCAAAATGTTTTCATTCCTTGCATTCCCCAGTCTCCTTTCCACATCACCAGCTGCTGTTGATCAGGAGCATGGAAACAAAATATGACATGGCCAGGTAAGGTAGCAGAATAGGAACAATTCCCCATACAGCTGCCATTTTTAGTGGTAGCCTCAAATCCTATAACATACCAAGTACCACAGGTAAGTTTTGTGTGTATCTTAGTACTAAATTTCCCCATCAAAGTTGGATGACACAAGGATGCTTTCAGTCCCTTGCCTTCCTTTTTAAAACACTGGGATTTTGTTTCACTTCATTTCCTGCACCTCTTTCAGAAGCAATAAAAACTGCAACAAAGTGCACATTGCATTGTGAACTGGCCTAAATGCAGCAGAACCAATCTAAGGTTCAGATTTTTTTTTGCTGAGGTCTCCTGCAGAATCATTTTCAAGCCTATTGTTCCACCGTACCTTTTTCTTCTGGGATCGCATTTTGCGCCATTTGGAAGAGGAGCCACTTGTGCATCCAGGTTTCAAAAGCCTGCAAGAGAGTCACAAGGAGATGTGATTTCTAATTGCTTTGCTTCAGATATCGGTGAGAGCAATAGAGACAAGCTAAGTCTATGTGTGTTGACATGAGAGAAAAGCCTATGTGGTTGAGCACAGCTTCTGAGATCTGCGCTGTGGCTCAATATCACAACTTTAAAGATATGTGTGTATGCACACTCAGACATACTATGGCCTTTCCATTACTGGTGAACAGTGCAAATCTCAAAAAGCACCTGGCTTTGGTCAGATAACAACTGAGGATAAATTCCGCCAAAGGTCTTGGCAGATGATGTCCTCAGCCATAGAGATATAGAAAAATGCTTCTCCAGTCCTCCTCTCACTCTTCATCGGCAAGAGAATGGTTGTTAGGGACTATCATAACAGTAATTTGGGGGGGGGGGGGTATTTGAACATTACAGAGGGAAGAAAAGAATATCAACAACGCCCAAAAAAAATAGAAGCAGAAGCATAAGATGGACCTATACTTGTGGATGTCACTAATAAGATTCTCACCATTTTGTAGCACCTCTTTGCAGTGATTTATTACAGTGCGACCCCAGGCAGCTGATGAGTAAGGCTCTATTTATTGCTTTTAATCCTCAAAGTAGGGCCCAATTAAACATGTAAACCCCAATAAGGTAATAAATATGTCTTAGATCACAGAAACACCATAAAGCTTCCCAAATTTGCTTCTGATTATACTGAATCTTGATCCTTTGAAGTTTCTTCTCACAGGAAGGGAATCATTCAAAAAATATTGCTGGGAAGTGGAGAGGGCTTCTATCACACAAGAGTTGTCTTCTGCACTGCAAATCCACTGTGCACATCTTAAGACTGAAAGAAGACAGGATTATCCAAAATACCTTGTCAAATTCTAGAAAGGATAGCAAACTGTACCTTCCAGTCTTCATAATCCATGCGGAATCTCATCTGACCAATATTTTCAATGAAGCTGCTATTAAATTCAGGGAATTTTCTCAGAGGGTTTTCCCGCTGTAGAGGAAGCACAGACTGTATTAACAAATGGAAAGTAAGATCACCTTGTCATCACTAATATGGACAAAGCTTGGAAATGTTTACTTTTTGGCACTACAGCCCACAGACTCCTGTAGTGAGGAGGGGGAATTCTGGAAGCTGTCATCCAAAATTAAGTTCTACAAGCTCTGATTGTGCAAGGAAGATTGAAACAATCCTCAGAGAACAGTATGATTGGAAGAAATGGCAGTGCATAAAAGAGACAACCTCATTTCAGTGATTTAATCAGGTTACTGACAGTGAGAATCACATAGCTTTCCCCAAGCTGAGCCAAGGGGAATTCAGAGGGGATACACAGATAGCATTTCCCTCTCTATGATTCTACTTTCAGTTCTCTAACTTCTACAGTCCACATCATAACTTGGAGTAACACCCCGGACAGTTAATGTAATATATTGGTTTGGCCACTGGACTCTGACTCCAGAGTCCAGGGTTTCAGCCCCTCAGAAATGCTTCAGAGGGAGGTAAATACAACTCCCCTCTGAACAAATCTTGCCAAGAAAACCCAGTGATAGGTTTGCCTTAGGATTGACATGTTTTGGGAATGACTTGAAGACACATAAAAAACAAGAACCTTAATACAAGGATCACAGGAAAGAACCCTGAGATAAACAAAGGCAATTGTCATCCCTAATGTATGTAAAGTATGTACTACAAATCCCATAATTTGAGTTTTTATCATTGAACATTCTTTAGTAAGGTTGCTGTGAGTTTTCCAGGCTGTATGGCCATGTTTCAGAAGCATTATCTCCTGACATTTTGCCCACTTCTATGGCAGGCATCCTCAGAGGTTGAGGGGTTCTCTGAGGATGCCTGCCATAGATGTGGACAAAACGTCAGGAGATAATGCTTCTGGAACATGGCCAACCAGCCTGGAAAACTCACCGCAACCCAGTGATTCCGACCATGAAAGCCTTCGACAACACATTCTTTAGTAACTTAGTCCAGTTTGTTACCATAGCTCCCCATAAAGAGCAGCCAATATTATCGAACCTTCTTGTAGCCCATATATTCCAACATCATATAGAAAAAAATACTGTGAGTCCTTTGGATGTGGGAGGATTTCCACAGAATTCACCTTTCCAAGCCTGTACAATTTTCACAATTAATGGTATGGCACTTAGGCTTTGTTTTATAGTAAAGATCCAGAAACACTGTAACTACAGACATGGACAAACTGCATGCATAGAAGCAATTATCCTTTTGTTGTTTTTGAGGTTGAAGGCTCCCTACTGGTTGCATTAGGAGGAAACAAAGTGCTTTTCAATTGAACAATGTAAGCTGTCACATAAAAGCAATGAAGCAGTGGCAGCTATATGCAGCTGACTCCATTATTGCCTTCCACTTCATCACTTCCCCTCTCTGGATTCCTGTGTATATACTGTGGTTAAGATCCTGCATTGACAGATGTAGCAATGATAAGAGAGCTCTGTTGTTGTGACATCTACAAATTCTACTTCTCACCACCCAAAGCCTGCCTCTTAAGCCAGGCAGGAGCCCAACCAAAGGGTTTTCAAGATGTTGCCAATCAGAGCACTGGGAAATGGCATTTTCCGGTCACAGGGTATGCTGGAGAGGCCCCTTAGACCCCCGGCACTACTGCTCATCCTAATGGCCAGGAAGGTGCTGCAGTCATGATTTCTCAGTGCCCTCAGAAATCTTGAATCAGGCAGTGGCTTACGATGGAAGCCATTAGTTCAGTTTCTGATCTTGTTAATATTGAACAGGATGCAGCCACTGCCTACAACCAAGCATCAGTCGTGGTTCTCATTTCTGACAACACTCATATGCCAATCAAATATGATGGTTGGGCAGCAAGAACACATTAGCAATTCATCTGAACTTAAAAGGATTGCCTTGATGTATCAGATCAAAGTTCTAACTAATTTGATGGCTCTGGTGCAGGTAGTCTAAGTTGCAGGTAGTCTAAAATGAATCTATGTCTTCAAATGATCATGCAGAATCATGGTTGTCATGGTGAGGGAATGAGACTCTTACCAGTAGGACACGTTTGACTTGGTCTTCAGTGCTGTTGGTCAGCTTGGCTTCATTTTTCAATGACTACATATGGGACAAAAAGAAAAGTCAACATCTGAAGAGTGACAATTAGAGTTCCAGTTTCCATTATTACAGACAGGATATGTCTGATGTAGGATGATGGTAGTTGAACTAAGGGCATACAAGCTACAAACATAAATTGCTCAGAACAGAGACCAAACAAGAATAAGGAACTTGTGGCACTAAATATGTCATTAAACCACAGATTCCATTGTCACTCATTGTTAGAGATGGCTGATAGGAGCTATAGTCCAGTACTGAAAGGTCACACATTCACCATTTGTAGGATGGAAATTTTGGCTTCATTTTGAGTCCTTGTGGAAATACTCCTTGCTAGGGTCTTACTCCAGGTCCTAAACTTCCAGATGTTCTTAGATCCCAACTCCCAGCAGCCTTGGCCAATGTAGCCAATGGTCCAACAGTTTTAGAAGGCTACATGTCCACTCTTGGCCTTCTTACAAGAATTGTCTCTGATCTTTCACATACACTGCAGCAGATATGTTGAACTAGATCAAGACTAAAGAACAGCTCACTTTTTCATTACAGAGAGAATGTATGTACAGGGCTGAATTTAAAGAAGAACACATTCATTTTAAGATCCTTCAGTTTGTTCCTGAAGCTGGAAAAGGTCTTCATAAAGGACATTACTGAAGCTGGTGCATAGTAATTGCCATCTGACCTCATCATTGTACTAATGTGTCTTTAGATGGGGGAAGACGGTTTAAAAGGAAAGGAATGGCTGTGCTAACAAGTCCAATCCTAGAGATAGGTACAATGGGGTTTCCCTAAACTTCAAGCAGATTGCAGAAGGGCACACATGATGCTTAATTAGAGATGAGACAAGGAAGGAAGCTGAGTTGCTTCAAACGTATTACTGCTGTTTGTTTCTGTACCAGAGGGTATGAAAAGATACAGGGAATGCCCTCCCTAAATCCATAGCCATCTCATACAATGTTAGTATTGTAGTGGGGACGGTTTATGGATTGAACAGCAAAGTATTCAATGCTAAAACCTCCCTTAACTACCTCTTCCTGCCATATTTACCTCATCATCTCTGATAGCCATGGGCATCATATTGGCCATTGCCATCTTCATCACTGGCTGGGGGACTGTAAGAAAAGAAACAGGTGTAAAACATGCAGGATAATTTTTTTAAAAAATGAGTTTCCTTCAAAGGCATACTCTTTAAACAAAGAACACAAGTTCACAAACAAAATAAGTGATTTTGTATTATAGAATCTTTTGCCAAAATACTTGACACATACTCTTAAACACGAACCATAGTTGTACAGAGTATGGCACTGAACTAAAAACAGCAGTTCTAACAAATGCACATACACTTTCCAAGACAGCACTCTTGCACTGAGATTCCTCCCTCTTGCCCTGGAAAGTGGAGGACTCCGTCCTGAGACATTGAGCTTGGCTCTTGAGCAACCATCCATGGTTACTATTGTACACCCAGCAGTTAAAACGGTAAAGACAAAAGAAAAGGACAGCAGCCACTCACCCCGAGGAAGCTTTTTGGCGATTGATTCTAGCTTCAGCTCCGTGGTGTCCTTGCTCAGCTTAGTAATCCGTTCATTGTGATGATACACAAAGAAGACAGTGACCGCCTGGCCAGCGATAAGCAAGGCCACCAGGACAGATACGACTGCATAGATAGATCCACGGTTGCAGGACCCCCTGCAAGAGAGAAAAGATGTACATGGGTCCTCATTCAGCTATCCCTTCTATCTCTTTGCATCTGAGGGTGCATCTCCACTGTAGAATGAATGCAGTTTGACACCACTTTAACTTTCATGGCTCAGTGCTATGGAATCCTTGGAGTTGTAGTTTCACAACATCATTAGCCTTCTCTGCCAAAGAGTGATGGTGCCTCACCAAATTACAAATCCCCGTATTGAGCCATGGAAGTTAAAGTGGTATCAAACTACATCCATTCTACAGTGTAGATGCAACCCAAGAATACACTGCTGTAGAAGAGAATCAAAATAATCAATAAGAAACTTCATCTCCACATAAACAAGTGAAAAGTCTTGCCAGGGGTGTAGGGCAAAATAAAGACATTGCTCCCCAAAACCAAAGTTCTGCCCCACCCAAATGAAAATTTCCTTCACTCCCCAAATTTCTAGCATTGCAGAAAATGAGATACTGTAAAACATTCACACCTAAAACTATTATTTCCTGTGTTCACATGTCCTTGTTCACATTGCCTGCTCCTTTTCTTTAGATGCCTGAACTCTGTTTCTAAATGTTCAACTAAAATTTTAATCTTCTGCAATGCTATAAATTGAGGGAATTAAGGGAAATTTCATGGGAAGAGAAAATTTCTTACAGGAGGCGATGGCCCTTTGCCTGTCTCCAGCACCACTCTAATAATTAATTTTAATTGTATTTTATTTTACTTTAATCTGACACAGGCTTTTGTGGACAGCGACAATCTGTATTGGAGTCTATGAACATTACGGCAAATGAAATCCCACCGTTTTTCAGATTCACAAGACTCCTTGGCAATTTTTACTAACTCAGATTAGCATAGCTCATTTGGACATTATTAAGCAAATAATCCTGGTGTGGCATATTTCCTGAGTCTAAGACGAACAGAACATACACTATGGTTAAAAACTAATTGCTGAACAAGATACATGTCAGAAAGGAGGATGTCCACATTTGTTTGCTCATATCCCCTCCTTTTTCTCTGTTATTTTACTAATCTGTGTGTGTGTGTTATCTGAACGAAAATGTCTCCTCAGACTTAATAACTGAAATGAAAAGTAGCTGGAGGAAATGGCTGAATTCTGACCAATAATTTTCTAATCATCATGTGACATCACTTGTTGCTAGGTAGACGGAACTTGAAAGTAGACGAGAAAACCTGTTCCGCTTGATCTCTTCACATTATGGGCAGAACAGAAGAACCAGCGGTTAAACCTGTATGGTTGTAATGCATAAACATCCCCCCCATTAAAATGACTTTATTAGTTTTGTAAATAATCAGCCGGAGTTAGCAATATGATGAGTGTGGTACCAAAAAGAAAGGAACTATGCCAAATGGAGGCATATAAATTGTGCTGTTTTCTTCTCATTAGAAGAATTTAATTGATATAGAATTTAAATGTTTTAAAAGTGGGAGAACATGGTTTTACTTAGAGCCAACAGGTACATAGACAGGCTAGATAGGCTTAAGTCGCTGAGGGGGAAAAGGAAAGAGTCCAAGGCTGTTAGGAATTATGGGGTCTGTAGTCCAAAACACCTGGAGAGCCAAAGTTTGTGATGATACCTCTTTTTCCTCCTTCGTTATGAGTGAGGTAGCTCTTTGAGGAAGAACACAACAGAGAAATACGCAACACCCACCCACTCCTGATACTAAATGGTAGCTGTAAAGAGAAATGGCTTTCTTCTTTCAAAGGAAAAAAACCCAGATTCAGTCATTTATGACCTGGTCCTAGTGCATAAGCTAGATGTGGCTATAGATTTTGGGGACAGGCATGCAAAATCTGATATTCAACATAACAAGAAATACAAAATGCCATTGTTCAATAAAGTGTCATTTGCCTTAACTTTGCTTTCTTCCAGCTAGGCTGAGAATTCTGTAAAATAATTGCATATTTACCAGCAGATCGGATGGAAATTTGCCATTGGGGCATTAAAATATTGAGAGCCGTGAAACACATAAGCATAGACTTATTTTCCAGTTGCACATGGGCAAAACAGCAGGAAAGGGGCTTATCTGAGGGTGCATCTACACTGTCCAATTAATGCTGTTTGACACCACTTTAACTGTCACGGCTCAATGGCACAGAATCACAGGAGCTGTATTTTAACAAGGTTTTCCTGCCTTAAGAGGGTTTGTGCCTCACCAAACTACAAATCCCAGGATTCTATAGCATTGAGCCATGGCAATTAAAACAGTGTCAAACTGCATTAATTTGACAATGTAAATGCAACCATAAACAAGAAGTGAGGGGACTGGCGTGTACATTAAGCCTTGCCTAGAAGCAGCCCCTTCGTTATCGTTCAGAGATACAGCCACTGTTCGCCACACCAGGAAAAAATCAGCCAACTACAAACTGAGATTGGAAAGATTGCCTTAAGGGTGTAAAAATTGCTGGCTGCAAATTCTGAGAGTTGTAGTGCCAAAAAGTAACATTTTAACAGGTTCTGTGTTAAAAGTTGCATTAAAAAGTGCCACAAAGCTACAAACTTCCTCATTCTTCATATGTGGCACAGATATTCATGTGGCTGTAACCCCTCGCCTACCCTGGCCAAGAAGTGAAAATGTGGAATCAATAGAAATGCAAATACCGTTCTGGCTGTGGGGCAGGGCCAGCCCCTGGCCCAGGGAGAAGGTCCCTTTGGTCATCCTCCATGGCCTTGGTCTTCTTCCCAGGAGCTGCCTTCTGCTGCTGTGGTACTTGGAGGCTGAGAGAGCAGCTGCTTTGCCCAACAGGATCACTGGATCTATAATAAAGGGCTAAGCTGTTCTTCAGAAGTTTCTTGAATAACAGAAATGGGAAGTGAAAGTTGCCAGGCTTACAGATTTGGAAATACCCTTCCTACCTCCTCCCACTTGCTTTGCCCTGTACAGGACTCAAAGGGGCCACAATAGCCCAGGTTTAATCTTTAAAGAAATCTGATTGGACGCTGGAAACGGCATCATCGGTTGCCAGGCAGAGTTCTACATCTTTTTGGTTTACTAGTAGATGTATGGAGAGCGCAGTTCTTTGACAAGGATGTACTTATTTGTTCCACACCTGTAGCTCAGTAAATAATAGTTGGGGAATGAATCTTTTGTGTGCTTGTTTGACAAGGATTCAGGAAGCAGTGCAGATTTCATATAGCTTTGTGCCACTATATGAGATTTCTAGTCCACCTATTTTGTCTTTAATTTTGCACAACAGTCGCTTTTGCTGTAAAAGCTTTCAAAATGCTTCCAGTGAATTGCTCCTGGGTGGTTTTATGAACAGCAGCTAGCCGCAATATATTTATTCTGTTTTGCTTCCATCCCAATAGATATATATATTTCCACTGGGAAAATCCTTTCCCATGTACATGTTAATTAAACCAACAATAAAATCTAATTTCAACAGAAGGGATTTTTGGTGGATATTATCTTTAGCCTCATAGGAAATCTGCTACAAAAGAGGAGTTTTTTGTTGAGTTCCAGGGCCATAGAAACAGGTGGTGAAAGAGAAGAACAGCCTGCCTCAGGGTAGCATACCTGCTCCATCCATTTTCAACATTTACACAAATGACCAGCCACTTCCAGAAGCGACAGAGTTTCATCTATGCTGATGACCGTGCCATCACTGCCCAAGCAGGGAGCTTTGAGACTGTTGAAAAGAAGCTCTCTTACAGGAAAAACCAGCTGATTCCTAATCCATCTAAAATACAGACATGTGCTTTTCATCTTAAGAACAGACAAGCATCTCAAGCTCTGAGGATTACCTGGGAAGGAATCCCACTGGAGCATTGCAGCACACCCAAATACCTGGGAGCTACCCTGGACCATTCTCTGACCTACAAGAAGCACTGCCTGAATATCAAGCAAAAAGTGGGCACTAGAAATAATATCATATGAAAGCTGACTAGCACAACCTGGGGATCACAACTAGAGACAGTGAAGACATCTGCCCTTGCACTATGCTACTCTGCTGCTGAGTATGCATGCTCAGTGTGGAACACATCTCGCCATGCTAAAACAGTGGATGTGGCTCTTAATGAGACATGCCGCATTATCACGGGGTGTCTGTGCCCTACACAACTGGAGAAATTACACTGTTTAGCTGGTATTGCACCACCTGACATCCACCGGGGAGTAGCAACCAATAGTGAAAGGACCAAGGCAATGACATCTCCAGCCCATCCCCTGTTCGGATATCAGCCAGCACGCCAATGACTTAAATCAAGAAATACTTTTCTACGATCTACAGAGACACTCGCTGGAACACCTTGGCAACTGAGAGTCCAAAACTGGCAGGCTCAAACCCAGCACCTCAATCCATGTCTGATGCCAAATGAGAGAGACTCCCTCCTGGGCACACAGAAAACTGGGAGACTTGGAAGGCACTGAACAGACTGCGCTCTGGCACCACGAGATGCAGAGCCAACCTTAAGAAATGGGGCTACAAAGTGGAGTCCATGACATGCGAGTGTGGAGAAGAGCAAAGCACAGACCACTTGCTGCAATGCAACCTGAGCCCTGTCACAAGCACAATGGAGGACCTCTTTATAGCAACACCAGAGGCACTCCAATTGGCCAGCTACTGGTCAAAGGTCATTTAATAGAATGCCAAGTTTACAAACTTTGAAGTTTTTTAAAAATGCAATACAACTGTTTGGTTCACTCCTGACATGATTGATAAATAAGCTGGATATTATTGGATGCTTCATCTAAAGTAAAACTAAACTTAAACAAACCCAATGGTTTGGATCATATTTTTGATGGAAATAGAAAGTGCCCTTGTAATCAGAATGAGAATTCTGTACTGATGTCTTTTAAAAGTGAAGTACTGCAGTCAAAACACATTAGTGAATAAACATACTTACAAAACCTGGTTCCTCCAAAATTCATTGTTCCCAAATAAATACAGAAAATAATTTCCATTTCTTCTTATGATGATCATCATTTATTTATATATCACCATTATTCCACATGGAGCTTTATGATTCTATTTGAAATAACTGCTTGTGTATATCTTACTTGTACAGTAGGTGCAATGCTGAGAGACCCAGGAAGATGTACCTCCACATCCTAACACAAATGTCAAGTAAAGACTAACCCCATAGAAAGCTAACCCCATGTATTCCACAGTGTAAGGAACAGAGATGTGGGGGTCAGGCACTATCTTTGACTGGTAAGATATACAGAAAAACAAGAGAGTGGAAATATTCCAAAGGGAGAAGCGTGATGTATGGCATTCAGACCTTCAGCCTTTCAGAGACTATTTTATCAGGTGTGTTTCATTTAGTGTATTCATGCTTCTTTTATTGTGTCAGAAGCGAATTGAGAATATACTGCAAGTCGCTTCTGGTGTGAGAGAATTGGCCGTCTGTAAAAACGTTGCCCAGGGGATGGCCAGATGTGTTACCATCCTGTGGGAGGCTTCTCTCATGTCCCCGCATGGGAAGCTGGGGCTGACAGATGGGAGCTCACCCCATCTCACAGATTCTAACTGCCGACCTTCAGGTCTTCAGGTCAGCAGTTCACCCGGCACGAGGGTTTAACCCATTGCACTACTGTGGCTCCCTTGTATTCATACCAAGAGATAGAGTCAGAAAAACTGTGCATGAGAAAAGACCAAAGAGCGGAAGAGATACATGCTGAGTCAGTTGCAAACAGGCTCAAAACATGCTTTATGTTCCTCTTGTTTTTGTCACAGTCACCTGAATTGGGTCTAATTACTATTTTGCCTGATCTTGTTTGGATTGGACTTTGCATTTGTAATACAATACTTCTCTCTCAAGAGATTCTTTGTTATATCTTGATGGAACAAATTGTTGAGACTCTAGGCAGAGACAAAATGCAGATTTAAAAAACTAAAAAAAGTCACCTCAAAGACTGACAATTTTTAATGGCATGTCAGTTCTGAAATGAACTAGGCTAGCAGTGGCAGGAACTGATACCTACTATCTATAACATCAAAAGGAATGGGCCAGAGGTTTAGCACAGCTGGTAAATTATCAGCAATTATAAGATCTATCAACCAAAAGGTTGCAAGTCTGAAGCCCCGGGTTGGCGTGAGCTGCCAACTGTCAGCCTGGCTCATTGTCTACCTAAACAATTCAAAAATAGCTTTAGCTGTGATTAGAAAAATTAGGTACCTAAAAAAGTGGGAGAGGTGTTTTACAACGCCATAAAAAAGAAGATCAGAAAATGCTGGGTGAACAAAAGGAAGGAGGAAGTCCTGACAGCTCTTCATCATAGAGGGCAGAGCAAGAGGCACCCCCTGGACTCAAGCCCAACCTTCCATGGCACCAAAAACAGCTGAAACAAACCACCTCCTTCTGTTCTGTCTGTGTATTGCCTATACAAAGCAGCATTGAATGTTTGTCGTGTATATGTACTGTGATCCGCCCAGAGTCCCCTTCAGGGTGAGAAGGGCGTAATATAAAGTGTTGTTGTTGTTGCTGTTATTGTCAACATACATTGACTTTTATATATACAGTATAGATCAGGCATGTTAGGAATTGTAGGAGTTGAAGTCCAAAACACCCGGAGGGCTGAACTTTGCCCATGCCTGGTATGAATTAATCATTTGTCATTGAACCCTCCTTGTTAAACTTTAAAAATAAAGTGCCTGTTGTTTTTTTCTCTTGAATACCTGCCACAATCTACAAGGAGTGTGAATGGAGAAGTTAACCAGACAGCGTAATGTATCATATAATTCATTGGGCAAATGTAAATTAATCTCTATTCAAGACAGTTACATATTCCTCTCATTTTGACTAAAATAAAGTTATTTTTAACCTAGAATCATGTTGAGTAAGTTTTTGTTTTACCTCGTTGTGGACCTGGTTTCCTATACCCTCTATCTTGGATGGAGATGCCTTGGGAAATACGGCTAACATTCAGAAGTGACTCAAATTATTCCTCTCAGTTCACTCTAAGCATTGCAAGCTTGAATCTCATTTTCCATCAGAAATCAGGGTTTTAAGGAGAAAGTGGAAAAAGCAGATATCAAGTAGTAAATAGCACAGGAATACCTGCACTCGGTCCCACCTTGCCATCATTTGTTGCACTACTCATTATAAAGAAGAGCACATCTCCAAGATGATTTATTTCTAAAGCACTCTAATAGCATAGAAAAATACGAAAGTTTTTTAAAAATGGAATGGTAATTGCAAAAGCCAAATGGTGAAGCACTCTCCTGCTGTTTGTTGTTGAAGTCAATCTCAATATTCTTTGTTTCCCTTGGCAATGTTTTCAGATGGGCTACTTTTAATGCAAATGAGATGCTAATAAAAGAGCTACTTAAAAAGAACCCATGAGAAGGGTTTAATACAAAAGGCTGTTGTACTGTCTGTGCAACATCACCTGCTACATTCTTAAAATTCTGTCATGAGTCCAGCTTCAGGCTTTCACAAAGACTGTTCTCCTTAGAAACTACAGACATCAGTGACCGGCTAATTTCCTATTGGCTGAAACGCTACCACCATTTCCCCACTTCTTACATTTTGAGCTGCTGCTGCCAAAGGGTAATTTCTGATCCGACTTTCAAGTGTCAATACTGGGAAAAACTATAATAAAATGAGGAAGATACTATTTTTTTCAAGTTGACTTTTCTACAAAATGACTCATAAAAGGAAAATAGAAGAGGATCATGAAAGTGGAAGATAGTTCAGGCAAACTATATGTCAAAGATCAGAAGGACACGAATAAAAACAATTTTATCTTTGTATATTCTTGTCAAACTATGGTATAAAATGTCTGTACTATGCTCAGGCCACCATGACAATGTATGTATGCATGTACCCCCCTCAAAGTTCAGGAAAATTCTATTTATAAAGGCAATTTCTATTCATATACCACCCAACATGCCTGGGGGTGTAAAACCCCCACACTAGTAAAAATCCTACGATTTACAGTACAGACAGTCCCCAAATTACAAACGACTTGCAAATGACTCAGTTACACATGGGGGTGAGAAAACAGGAAGAAATCTACCCCCAGGAAGGGAAATTCACTGCTGAAAGTTTTTTTTTTTTTTGGGGGGGGGGGGAAGTGTCACCACTGAAACTTTTCCACAAGCCATTTTTTTTTCAAAATCCAATTATCACAGGGATAGGAAAAGAAGTGAAATCTTCTGAACAGGGACACAGATAGCAAAATAAACACCACAGGGGTGTTAATCCTTCCCTATGCTATCCAAAGCTTCCGAATATATATTTTGGCTGGAATTAGACTTTAAAATTTACCTGTTCCAACTTACATACAAAGAACAAACTTAAGAACAAACCTACAGAACCTATCTTGTTATTATTTTAATAAACTAATGTGATTATAAATATTAGCTTAATTAACCTGAAAAATCTCATTTTTCATAGAAAATTGCTCTTTCCAGTATTCACACAGCGCACAATATGACTTTGGGATTCCTGCATCACTATAGATTGGTGAGTTTCAGAGGAGCATTAGTTTGCTAAAAGGTCCCCACTTTTACAAGTCATTGGCAATATGTAAAAATCATTAGGAATGTGCATATTTGACCCAAAAATTCATTTGCACTTCTTTCTTGCAACCTTCATTTAAACATTTAAGGGTTCGTATTATTTTGCAATAGCAAAATACAGAAATTTTGTGACTATTTTACTTTTACAAGCATACCCTTCTCTATTCTAAGGAATGGCCTTAGAAATCTCAGTTTAGAGTATTGTCTGAGCTAAAATGCTGTTCCTGTTTGGCTCCAGACTTGTCAACAAGATTTGCACAATACATAAATACAGATACAAAGAACTATGTTTTCATAAATTTCCCCAGCCATCATGCTCAGTTCATATTAATTTCCCCTCTCATAGTAATGAGAATGTGCATCCCGGAATAAGTTTCTGAAATGTTGAGGCCTCACAAAATGTACCTACCTCATTCCATTAGAAGGATCCGACTGTTGGTGCCAGGTTTGGTTCACTGTGGAAGTTTTGATTGATGTTGCTTTTCTCCTTAAGGAGTAAGTTTACAATCTGTGGTGCTCTCAGATCAGATGTCCAGGTGGCTTAAGTAGTATATTTTATTTATGTTATGTATTAATTTTGATGGTATTTTGTTTGCTATTTGTATTTGTTTTGTTATAATTTTGGGCCTGGCCTCACGTTAGCCACCCTGAGCCTCCGTTGGGGAGATGGTGGCGGGGTATAAATAAATATTATTATTATTATCATTATTATTTGAAACACAAGATGAGTCCACAGCAGACAAGATCACTCTGCTGGCTGTTGTAGTGGATCACACGTTGGACACTTCCCAACTGTCTAGGATTGTGTGATGTATCAGCAAATAACGCGTGCAGATTCCAGTAAGGTGGCCTTCTGCAGCTGGCAGGTGGTAATTTTGTCAGTGCCAAGGTCTTTAGGCACTGCACCGTGTGCCAATCACCACTGGGACCACCTTTACTGGCTTGTGCCAGTCTTTGCACTTCAATCTTTAAATCCTCATATTGTGTCAGCTTTTCCAGTTGTTTTCTCTTCAATCCTGCTGTCACCTGGGATTGCAACATCAACAATCCATACTTTGTTTTTTAACACGATCGTGAGGTCAAGAGTACTGTGCTTCAAAACTCTGACTGAATTCAAATGTCCCAGAGGAGTTCGATGTGTTAATTTTCTGTAACTTTTTCCGGCTTGTGATTCCACCAGTTCTTTGTTGCAGGCAGATGGTATTTGTGGCACAGGTTCCAATGAATCATCTGAGCAACGGTGTTATGCCTCTGCTTGTAGTCTGTATGTACGATCTTATTATTATTATATAATAATAATAAAGTAGCACAAAGGATTTTACACTAACATAGCTTCCTGTTTCCTGTGTGCTTCAAGTCACCTATCAACTTATAGAAATGCCATCAATTCCATAAGATTTCCAAGGCACATAATAGTTTTTTTTATCAGTTCCAGCTATGACTTGAGTCCAGGACATCTCAGAGTCCTCTTGGTCCAACAAAACCTACCCAAGTGTTAGTGTTGCCTATCAGAAATAGATATTTTTCTCTGTGATCATACTCTACCTGTAAAGGGAAATAATTACATGGATGCGGAGTTAAATACAGATTTTCCTTGTGCCTTTTAATTAAAAAGGCTGGTCTTAGTATCACTCTTTTTTTCTGATGCTGTGTCAACTTGACATAAGTAATATTGTTGGAATATTAGCATTTTCCTTTAATGACAGAAAGTGCCTTGTGACTTCCTCATAACTTTGTTTGAAAAGATAATAAATCTTATTAAGCACAGCATTAGCAAGAGTGAAAGATGGTTAAGTAAAAGGTAAAGTGCATCTAGGTGGAAAATATGATTAGCACTTTACATTCAGAGTCCAAAATATTTTTTTTTTTAGACAAGACATATTTGACTCCTATACAAGAGGGATCCCAATGCAAAGTAGTAGAAAGGTTTACCCCCTTCAACTGGTCCATAATAATTTTAGTATTGTTTACTGTATGAACAAAAGAGTACCTCACTAAATAGTAAGTTATATTTTAAAAGCAAGTAACAAAGTAAATAAAACCAAAACACATTCGATTTGGCTCCAAAAAAAATGAAGTAGAGCATTACTGGGGAGCAAAAGCAAGCCTTGATTTTGCCAGTAGAGCATTACTGAGCTCCACCAGAGTTGCCTTGTTGTTCATTCGTTCAGTCGCTTCCGACTCTTCGTAACCTCATGGACCAGCCCAAGCCAGAGCTCCCTGTCGGGCATGGCCACTCCCATCTCCTTCAAAGTCAAGCTAGTCACTTCAAGGATACCATCCATCCATCTTGCCCTTGGTTGGCTCCTCTTCCTTTTTCCTTCCATTTTCCCTTATGTTGCCTTACGCTGAGTTGCCTTATGCTGAGCTATTAATTTATTTCTTACACTGATGGCTCTAGTAAAAAAGATTCCTCCAAAACATAAACATGGAAATCATCATCTTGGGTTTTGCTTAATAGTAAACAACGATGGTGATACCAGAGCTGGATACCAGTGTGCCAAATTCTGAAGGATTCTCCATGGGACATCCAGTAATGGAATATGTATTAGGCAGAACCTGTTTCCTATCTGGACTTAGCTACCACTTTCAAAACTGCACTCCAAAAATATTGTCCTTGGTTTGTAAAAAGATTTTTTAAATCTTGGGCTAAGTAGCACAACCAGCTTGACAGAAAAATAATTCAAAGAAGGAAAATGATTCCACAGAAATGCCTACGAGAGCTAACAACCACTGAAAAGCTCCCTACAGAGAGAATGCTTTTCAAGTAACCAATTACTGGGAAAGACAACCCAAGGATACATTTCACAGGAAACCGGCAGTAACTCAACATATACAAGAGAACAAATGAGAACAGAAATTTATTGGAAATCTTTAATGATGAAAGATAACAGCTCCTGTTTACAGACGACGACCACGGCGACCGCCCTTTCTGCGGGTGCTGTCTGAAGGAATGGGGGTTACATCCTCTGTGGGAAAAAGCATTTCACACTCAGAAGTAGGTTTCTCTCATGCACAAGCCCCCACCCCACCCCCTAAGCCATGAGACTAAGATGTCACTGGAATCTTTCACTGTATGAAAAATAATACTTAAATGTAAATAGGTATTTTTAAAACATTAAAAATACAGTCTGATATTGGGTCTTAAGACAGACTGCTCCAGTCTACTTCCCATTGACAGCTTCTTAAATTCTGGATGTGAAAAACCTATTTCAGATTAAGATTGCAGAAGTTACGGGACTTTCAGTCCACATCAGCAAAACATAACAGAGCTACTAGGAAACGCTGGAAGAATTCATAACGCAGCAACAGTTTGCAACATGAAACAAGTTGTATTATTGAAGTGTACACTACAGCTTCCAATACTTTCTGACAAAAGGCCATAACAAGTAGGTACTGGGTAATTTCCTGGTTTAACTAAGAATCTTGTAATGGTTCAAGACATACCTTTATGGGGATTTTTCAGATGTCTTAGATTCAAATTCCCATAACTTCCAATCAACATGACTAGTAACACAGATATTTGGTGTTTAGTCCAAATATCTAAAGCCTCAGTAATCACCCTCTCTATTACATATAGTGTCCTTACCTACATCCCACAAGAGAAGTCTTGTAGGACAGTGTTCATACAGCAAACCTGTACAGATTAGCTGAAATTCAACTTTCCTGAATCTTGGCAGGGGGTTGGACTGGATGGCCTATGTCTCTTCCAACTCTATGATTCTATGGAGCAGACCTATTAAGTTCAGTTCATGTAACAGACAGGAATAACATTAGGCTTGAGGCCACTTTGACAAGGTAGGAATGACAGAACAGCAGTAAAGATAAGCATATTTCAAATACATCTCCATGAAAGATGCCTTGACTAATAAACATGGCTCCTTCTCAGGCAACTCACCAATGCGACCAATTTTCATGCCAGATCGAGCCAAAGCCCTGAGGGCAGACTGGGCTCCGGGTCCAGGAGTCTTTGTTCTGCAAAGAATAAAATTAAATAATTGATAAGTGTTTGCCTGACTACCTTCAATCTCCTGTGAACATATGGTTTAAACTGAACTGAGTCAACTAAAATGTACAGAACTGTGGCTAAACAACACCAAGTAGAAACTGTACTGGCATCTATATTCTATCACTGTTATAAGCAACAACTTCCATCTATACTTATCCAAACAATAACAGGGGCTATCTAAACATACAAATTCTACAGGCTGGAAAACAAAAGGACCAAATACCCACAAAGGTTCTAATCTACCAGAGAATACTAACAAATGCTCATATTTAATGCTAAAAGTCTTTCCCTTTGTCCTACATACACATCCCCAAAGACTCAGTAGTCTTCCGAATCTGGTGCTCGTTGTGCCAAACAATAACCACCACCAGAGCATTGCTGATGGCCATGCAGCCTGATGTGACATCAGGTTTTGCTCCAGAATACCATTGAACGCTTACCATTTCAGCTCCCTTAACTTTACAGAACTGACATGGGATGACTGAAGTACCTGTTTCCTCCTGTCGCCCTTAGCTTGATGTGAAGGGCAGTGATCCCCAGCTCCTTGCACCTTTGGGCCACATCCTGGGCAGCCAACATGGCCGCATAAGGAGAAGACTCATCTCTGTCAGCCTTCACTTTCATCCCACCAGTGACCCGACAGATTGTTTCTCTGAGCAAAGAAGAGGAAACAAGACATTAGTGGAGGAATCCATGCCCAGTCTCATTTCCACAGCAGATGAAAAGAGAAGTGTGCCCAATTTCTCTGCCAAAGAAAAGGCAATTTCAAAATGTTTTCACAGGCTTGCCAAAAGACAGGGACATGTAACTGAACAATTTAGAATCGATGGCTCCTATACTAAACTCAAGGTCTGTCTGTAATACTTGTAGCAGTTACATTGCTGACATGCATATATCCAAGTTGGTGTGAACAGAACGATGATGGTCTAAATGTTTACTAGACTATGTGCAGGACAGCACAGCATGCCACTCAACAGGCTAAATGCTAATCACCATTTGACCATATTGCTAGATGGTTGATACCTGCCCTTTCTGCAGACTCAAATGGGCAGCAAGAAGTGGGATTCCTGTGCATGGCTGGTGGAATATCTTGGCCTTAGTAAAGGTTGGTACAGATAATGTCATAAAACACTGCTGACAACACATTCACCAAAACCCTATCCTTCTAAATGTTGTTCATTCAATATATATTTAGTTGGGCGGGGGGGGGGGGGGGGTGTGGTTTTCATAACAGAGAGAGAGAGAGAGAGAGAGAGAGAGAGAGAGAGAGAGAGAGAGAGAGAGAGAGAGAGAGAGAGATGTGCTTACTTTAGAGTGTAATAACTCTTTCTACAGCAGGCAGCCTAAAATGTGAACTACTCACTTGCCAGACAGATCAGTTACGTGAACAAAAGTGTCATTGAAGGAAGCAAAGATGTGGCAGACTCCAAACACATTCTCTCCTTCAGCAACCTGGGGTCCCAAACTGATGACCTGCTCTTCCTTCTTTTCCTTGCCCTTACGAGGTGCCATTTCTGTGTAAGAAAACAAGAAGATATGGAGGAGGCATAAGTCCAAGTACTTTTTCTTGGAGCAGTACTATTTATAATGCTGCATTAGATCAAGATGCAAGCTGACCAATACAGGTCCAATTCTTATAAGCAGGCCATATTAAAGAATGCCAACAGGGGAATCATGCTGAGAGACACTCCTTTTTACATGAATCAGTCCCAACAATTCAGTCACCCCCCCCCCCCAGCAAAAAAACAAAAAAAACCCAGCTTTGCCTTCCAGAAGAGCAAAAGGAAATCACTGTATGATGTGGGAATTTAATATTCCAATATACAGTATGTTTTTCTATAATACAGACAAGAGAGAGAGCAAAAAACTCATCAGCTGAGAAAAAAAACGGTAACAGTCTCCACAGTGAGCATCTTGCTCTGCTGACAAAAAACAAAGAGAGGCAAAACAGTGGGCTCAATGGTATGGAATTTGTCATTTGGCTGGCAGCAGCTCTCTTTGGCAGAGAATACTGAAGACATTGCAAAATGACAAGTCCCAGCATCCAGTCACAGTAGATAAGATAGTGCTGAACTGAATAAATCTACAGTGCAGATGCATCCTCAGAACAAGAAATAAGCATCTCATGTAGAACACAGAAACTTCAGTGTTGCCATATTTAAAATTTTAAACTAAGTTCCCAAACCATATGATATCAAATCAAAACCTTTACTATTTGTCACAAATATGGATATAAGTATACTCTGGTTTCTCTTTGGATCATATAATAAACCTTTCCCCTTTTACAAATATGGTTATGAATTAATGTATTGTCGAAGGCTTTCATGGCCGGAATCACTCAGTTCTTGTGGGTTTTTTCGGGCTATATGGCCATGTTCTAGAGGCATTTCTCCTGACGTTTCGCCTGCATCTATGGCAAGCTTCCTCAGAGGTCAAGTTTACTGACCTCTGAGGAAGCTTGCCATAGATGCAGGCGAAACGTCAGGAGAAATGCCTCTAGAACATGGCCATATAGCCCGAAAAAACCCACAAGAACTGAATGGTTATGAATTCTCACAACCAAATAGCATCAGTTATGTCCAGTCTAATATTAGAGGCCTTTATCTGTCCTGAATTCTCTCTGTGACTATTATGTATTCTTTTCTAGATTGAAAACCAAAATATCCTTTCTACAATAAACAAAAACATTACTGTGGTCATTTCTTTTTTAGTACAATAAATGCTAAATAATTAGAAATGCAATCATTTGCCAATGTATAGGAAGTATTTGAAGTGGAAACAAAGCAGTGCACAGACTGGTCTTTAGACTATCATAAATTTCCAACTCTGGAATAGGAAAAACTTTTAAATTGAGAATTGAGGACCACAATTCCAGCAAATTACTTAAACCCCATAGCCTTGTATGGAAATGTAAGCCATCTACATGTGTTGGAACAGCAGCATTACAAATGTAGTAGACTTTAGGATTTATGGATGGTTTTCAAGTACAAGAATCGACTAAGTACAGGGACCTAGTTTACTGTCTAACCGGAGCCAAAATAATATATGCTGAAACTACATCCCAAACTACTCTTAAATTTGTGCCTAGCGGTGGCTGAGAACAGGGACACTTTTTCTTTGTGGTGGTTCAATGTATACACCACTGTTTCATGCACAAAATAATTGTTTTAAAATTATCTGTAAGGTGTAGATTAGGCCTGGGCAAACTTGGGCCCTCCAGGTGTTTTGGACTTCAACTCCCACCATTCCTAACACCCTTAGGCAGCTTAAGCGGCTAAGTGGGGGAAGGAAAGGGCCTGAGGCTGTTAGGAATGGTGGGAGTTGAAGTCCAAAACACCTGGAGGGCCCAAGTTTGCCCAGGCCTAATCTACACCTTACAGATAATTTTAAAACAATTATTTTGTGCATGAAACAGTGGTGTATACATTGAACCACCAAAGCTACCACACTCTGGGGCAGAGTTCCACTGCTGAATAGCTCTCATAAGCTATATTTTGATGTATGAATGGGAAAATACATGTGTTCCATCTAAGTCCTGACTCTTGCGGGTGGCCTGAGAAAAGCCTCAGGTCTCCATATTTATGTACTGCAAAGCCTTTCAATACGGGTAAGAGGCCCACACCCCGACTCGAAAGAAGGGGCGCCCACCTTGCAATGCCTACACGGCTGCTTCGAGTGGAGGAGACTACTCAAAGGCAGGCCCGACAGGCAGAGAATGGCGGGGTCCTCTTTCTCCCCCAGACCCCCAATTAAGCGCCCGGCCATTGCGGCCCTCTCTTCTCTTAGAAGGGGTGCACCCCAAAAGCTCCAAAGAGGGGCCCTGGGAGCCCCGGCTGAGGAGGATGGCGGCGGATGGAAGGCGCCCCCCTTCTTTTCCCTTCCCTCAGCCACTTACTCGAGTGTCCTCGCAGGCGGCAATCAGCACCGGAAAGGAAGAGGCCAGCGTCACGGGAAGAGAGGTCGCCTCGTCTCACCCGGAAGCAATACTTTCCGTTGGGAGGGCGGGGAAAGAGGGCCACTTCCTTCAAAGAGCTGGCGTGCTCTTCGCTCGTATCGTTACCAAGAAGAGATGACACTGGGTCTGCCGCTCTAGGCGGAGGAAGAAAGGCCCAGCTGCACTGAAATGAGGTTCATAGAGCCTTGTAAAGTGGGGCGAGAGAGAAAGAGGTGAGGGAGCCCTCACTCAACATGGCGGCGGTCGCTTCACAGGGAGCGTTCCAGCAGTGCGCCTGACGCCATCGCGTCTACTCCCTCCAAAGGCCTTGTTCCGTTCTGCGTGAAGATGGCTGGTTCCACTTACAGCATAGCGAGAGGGGCTTGGATTATTGGTGGCTGTAGGAAAAGAGTTGGCTCCTCACTGAAGTCGAATTCAACAGTGAAATTGTTAACAGGGACATCTTTCAAACCCAGGTTTAAGGCCTGCTGGTGTCTTGCCTGAAAACCTCCTTAGTGAGTTCATGTCTCCATCTCGAGGAGAAACCTGCCTCTGGTGGTGCGATGGGTGTGCCAGGAGGACTGATGATGGATGAAAATGGGCAATTTTAGGGCTGACACACAATCAGATGAGTTTTTAGTAACACATTGCCATCCCATTTGTAAGAATTCATGTCTGGTTCCAGCAAGAATCATATTGTCCATTAATAACAAGGAAAGGCAGTACAGATGAGTAGTTTACAAAGGTATTGTCGAAAACTTTCACGGCTGGAATCACTGGGTTGTTGTAGGGTTTTTCGGGCTATATAGCCATGTTCTAAAGGCATTCTCTCCTGATGTTTCACCTAAACCTATGGCAAGCATCCTCAGGTTGTGAGACCTCACGACCTCTGAGGATGCTTGCCATAGATGCATCCGCAGGCGATACATCAGGAGAGAATGCCTCTAGAACAGTGGTTCTCAACCTGGGGTCCCCAGATGTTTTTGGCCTACAACTCCCAGAAATCCCAGCTAGTTTACCAGCTGTTAGGATTTCTGGGAGTTGAAGGACAAAAACATCTGGGGACCCCAGGTTGAGAACCACTGCTCTAGAACATGGCCATATAGCCCGAAAAAAACTACAACAAAACAGTTCTCAAAGGTCTTTAGGCTAAACACGCTCAAGCTAGAATTGTTATCAGCACAATTGTAAGGAGCCCCCGGTGGCACAATGGGTTAAACCCTTGTGCCAGCAGGACTCCTGACCGATAGGTTGGAGGTTCAAATTCGGGGAGTGGGATGAGCTCCTGTCTGTCAGCACAAGCTTCTCATGCAGGGACATGAGAGAAGCCTCCCAAAGGATGGTAAAACATCCGGGTGTCCCTTGAGCAACATCCTTGCAGACCAATTCTCTCACACCAGGAATGACTTGAAGTCACTCCTGACACACACAAAAAAGAAATATTGAGGAAGCCCTCTCGCTTATTTCCAAGGAAGCACATTCTAATTCAAGGATTCTATCAAGCCTATTTTCTGAGTCCCGAAAATCTACCAGTTAAGTCAGTGGTTCCTAACCAGTGGTCCATGGACCAACAGTGGTCCACAAGAATTAAAATATGGTCCATGGCCTCACTGTTACTACACTGTTGCAACAAGAGCAACTGGTCTTGCGAAACCTCTTATCGTGCTGAGGCTTATTAAATATGGTTTCCTGTGAGCAAGCAGATGGCGACTACTGGATGGCATATATTCTGTATCGGAAAATAGAGCTGATGGTCTATCCAATGCAATTTTCTGACTCAGCAGTCCAAATAACCAAACCGAATCTAAAGTTGACCAAAAACTGATTCGTAAGCCTTTCGGTACTAATGTTGGAAACTGGTCCCTGGTCAAAACAAAGTTGGTATCCACAAATAAGCAAATGTTTCATTTGTCCATGATAAAAAGAAGTTCTGTCCTTTGTGTCAGCTGAAGGTAGTTTGTTTACTACGCCATCATATAACTAACGGACTTGATAAGCACGCTCAAATATGTAGCTGTCAAGATGAATCCTGGCTTCCACAAACGGCTTGATAGCTATTTTGCCACTTTTCCAAAAGGAGGATGACAATAAACATGATTTTTAAAAAACAATATGGTGCAGGGAAATTGAAATAAAAGAATGCACAAAGAAGTATAGACTTCCTACGAAAGAGACAAAACTTCCAATTCCTGAGTATACTATATCAAATATTAAAAGAATTGGGGCGGGACTACTTAACCTCTTTAAATAAATTCAGGTATGCATGGCTAAATGAACTACCTGAGGGTAGTAAATGAATTTGCAATGTTAGCTTCAAAGCATTTATCCATAATACTTGAAAATTATTGAATAACAAATGGGGGCCTTGCAGACTGGAGGTGCTCATCTTCAAAAAGGATTATGGCAACTGCCAAAAAGTAAACATCAATAAATAAAAAGTTTTAAACAGTCTGTGATTGCTAAAAGCCATTATGGATTTCTCAAAAACGACTCATGTCAGACTAATCGTACTTCTGACAGAGTTAGAAGCTTGTTAAATCAGGGACAGGTATATAGCACACCTTCATTTCAGTAAGGCTTTCAACAAGGTTATATCATTCCCCACAATAGCATTCCTTCTGATATTCCTGGGTGCTGTTGTGCTTAGATTTGTAGCTCATTGGCAAACCAAACTTCAGTAGTGCTTGCTAGTGGTGTCTTATCACCCCAGAGAGAAATGGGGCACTGCAGGTTTTGTTCAACATCTTTATAAAAGACTTGGGTGAAGGAACAGAGGCCACTCATCAAATTTGCAGATGACACTAAACTGAGAGGAGTCCTAATTAGGATTCAAGATGACCTTGAGAGTCTAGAGAATGGGACCAGAAAAGAAAATGAATTTAAACATAAGTTTGGAAATATTAAGTGCATAATATTAGGTGCATAAATTGAAAATTAATGACATCTGGCTTGACAACAGTACTGTATATGTGAAAAGAATCTAGGGGTCTTAGATCATAGATTAAACAGGAGTTAAGTGGACAGTGTGATGCAGTAGCAAAAACAGTGCTTTTATAGTCTGGATAAAGAACAGTATAGTGCCTGGTTCAAAGGCAGTAATATCACTGTATTTTGCTTTGGTTGGATTGGAAGTACTGTGTCTAGTCCTGAACAATTTAAGGAGGATATTACCAAGCCAGAACTCATCCAGAGGAGAGTGTCTAGGAGGGTAAAGAAACTGGAAGCAGCAATTCGAGGACTAATTGAGGAAGATGGGTTTGTAATTTGGAGGAGAAAATTGAGACATTACAAATCCACAAATACCTAAAGGTCAGGGAATACGGAATATGCTTGTGTTTTGCTGCTCTGAAAAGTAGAATCCAAACTAATAAATGTAAATTATGAGAAAGTGTAGAGTGTTGTTGTTCATTCGTTCAGTCGTCTCCGACTCTTCGTGACCTCATGGACCAGCCCACGCCAGAGCTCCCTGTCGGCCGTCACCACCCACAGCTCCTTCAAGGTCAGTCCAGTCACTTCAAGGATGCCATCCATCCATCTTGCCCTTGGTCGGCCCCTCTTCCTTTTACCTTCCACTTTCCCCAGCATAATTGTCTTCTCTAAGCTTTGCTGTCTCCTCATGATGTGGCCAAAGTACTTCAACTTTGTCTCTAGTATCCTTCTCTCCAATGAGCAGTCGGGCTTTATTTCCTGGAGGATGGACTGGTTGGATCTTCTCGCAGTCCAAGGCACTCTCAGAACTTTCCTCCAACAACCACAGTTCAAAAGCATATCTTCCTTCGCTCAGCCTTCCCTAAGGTCCAGCTCTCACATCCGTAGGTTACTACAGGGAATACCATGGCTTTGACTATGCGGATCTTTGTTGCCAGTGTGATGTCTCTACTCTTTAAGTGTAGAGTAGACGATGCTAATAGCTTTCTAGTCCACCCTACACCCCACCAGTGCAGGAAACCACAGCTAAAGCATCTGTGACAACTGCCTGTCACCTCTGTTTTTAAAAGCCAATTTAAAAAAAAATCCACATCCTTCCAAGGTAGTCTGTTTTGTCATTTGGAAGTTCTTAGGGCTTGTTCCCTGGAACAGCAAAAAACAAGCTTACTCCATCTTCCACACTATTGCCCTTTAGATATTCAGAAATTTCTCATAGCCACCATGAATCTTATCTTAAGGAAAGCAAACCCAGATTCATTAACTGTTCTTCATTGAGCTTGGTTTCATCACCTATATTTTAGCAAGAACTGAACTGTAAAAAAATCTTTGTTGGAAGAAATTTGAATAGGTTGGATGGTCATCTGTGAAATATGATTTAGCTGTGAAGTATGACTTAAGTCATGAAGTATGAAGTATGACTTGGTAAAGGGTTAGGCTAAAAGTCATTTGGTATCATGTCCAATTCTACAATTTATGTATTATTTTAAAGGATGTATCAATTACAGTAGAAATAGCAATGATAATGTGATCCTGGATAGATGCAAATTTCCAGGAAGATTTGAAATTCATCTGTGCTGTTGTCAGTCCTAATCCCATCTTTCCTTGTAATCATTATCATCACTGTCCTCATTATTTATTTGTAAGAGTACTAAAATGGTCTCGGCACTGGGCAGAAATACAATTACCTAGATAAGCTTGCAAGCTTACAGTTTAAATAATTAAGAAGAGAGAGAAGGGAAATTATACTTGTTTTGCAAGGCTAAAAGGAAACTAAAACCAGCTACATTAGAAATATAGCTCTCATTAGTCAGACAAATTGTAGCCTGTGTGCTGCATTTGGCATACAGGGCCATTTTTGTGGGACTCCAAATTTCTCCCTACCCACCCTCCAAATGCCCCCAAATACAATCTAGGGGTATAGAAAGCATTTGCACCACGTTTGGCTGGCCCCTGAGTTCCCCATGGGTTGAAAACAATTTTTGCAATATTATTTCTGTCCCGAAGTTCTTTAAAGCGACCACTATGGGGCATGGGGTGTACTTCAGTCACATTTTTGGGGCAATTTAGGCACAGGATATATCTATATCTATATATATATATAGGGGGAGAGAGAGAGAGAAACACCAAACATAATGAAAATG